CAGAACTTTCAGAAACCTGTTTAGTAAGATCTTTCAGGTCTAGGGAAGTCCGGACCCGTTAGTTGGAGAGCTGGTTTGAGCAATACCTCTAAAGAAAAGGGAAGTGGGAGGGGTTAGCTCATCGGACGACGAAGAGGGCTTTTTTCATAACTCATCATGCAAGTTAAAACTCTCCAGTTGAGTTAAGCAAAACACATATTGTTTGCTGTGCAAAAGTCTTAAAGTATGACTAATTTATTTCTATTTTTTTGGTCTCTGTGTTTACAGTTTGCAAGTTCCCCTGTGCATGCATATGTTTTTGGATGGATGGATGGATGGATGGATGGATGGATGGATGGATGGATGGATGGACGGACAAGATTTTAGGGTTTTAAACTTCTTAAGTTTGAATGAGATTTTAATCCTGCTTCAGCGTGTAAGATCTGTAAAAGAATCAAAAGGTACGGCAGTAAAACATCAATAAACAATCAAACTCAGATATCAAATGCGGTGAAGGCTGAAGTCTGCATCTGTAAATGAAATTCATTCAAAACCTGCAGGTAATCCTTTCCATTGTGTCTGTGACTTTACAAAAGTTGGAGTGAAGCCACCGTGAAAGAACCATTACTTTATAGATTTATTGCAAAAAATCACTGATTTTTATTTATCCAGTGGGAATCTTTTCCTTTCTCCTTTAAAAACTTAAGCTGAACCTCTGCAGGCAGTAGTCTGAGAAGAAGCTGACATAATTTACAAATACAGCAGCAGCAGAATAATGCACACAACAACCAGCCCAACTTTAATGTTTAAGATCAAACAAAGATTTTGACATCAGACAAAGATAATTTGAGGCATCCATTTTCTATACTGACTTCTTCCATATAGGGTTGCAGAGGAGCTGGTGCCTATCTCCAGAAGTCTACGGGCAAGAGGCAGGGTACACCCTGGAGAGGTCGCCAGTCCATTGCAGGTCAACACAGAGACACTCAGGACAAACAACCACGCACAAACACATTCACACCTAAAGGCAATTTAAAGAGACCAATTAACCTAACAGTCATGTTTTAGGACTGTGGGAGGAAGCTGGAGTACCCAGAGAGAACCCACTCATGCACAGGGAGAACATGCAAACTCCAAGCAGGAAGACCCCCAGCCAGGAGTTGAACCAAGGACCTTCTTGCTGCAAGGCTATAGTGCTACCAGCTGCGCCACCGAGCAGCCCCAGTACAAAAGCAGTTATCGCATAATGATTTCATTTTTAAAGGGAAAATATCTACTTAAACTAGGCTGGATTTATGTAAAAAAGTAATTGTTCCATAAACGCAATATCTGGTTGTGTCAGCCTTTGGAGCAACAACTGCCATCAAGCTTTTGTGCTAGCTTTTCTACATTGCTGGAAAGGAATTTGGTGCACTCTTCGTTACTTTGATTAAACCACATAGGAGGGCTTTGGAGCATGAACGGCCTGTTTAAGGTCTTGCAGCATATCCATCAGATTAAAACCCTGACTTTGACTAGACCTCTCTAAAACCTTTAATTTCTTTTAAACACTCAGAGGTGGACTTGCTGGTGTGGCTCTGGTCGTTCTTCTGCTGCATAACCCAAGTGCACTTGAGCATAAAGTTATGGACTGATAGCCGGACATTCTCCTTCAGGATTTCCTGGTAGAGAACTGAGTTCATGGTTCCTTCAATAACAGCCAGTCATCCAGGTAAATAGCAGCAAAGCAGTCTTAGACCATCAGGCTACCACCACCATGTTCAGCAGTAGGTATGATGTTCTTTTCTGAAATGCTTTGTTAGGTTTATACCAGATGTCTTCAGAAGCACACCTTTCAGAGAGTTCCTTTTTGTCTTGTCAGTCCACAAAATATTTTCCCAAAAGTTTTGGAGATCATCAAAATGTTTTTTGGGAAAATATGAGATGTGATTTAGTGTTCTTTCTGGTCAGCAGAGGTTTTGGTCTTAAAACTCTCTGATGGATGCCATTTATTTACTAGTCTCTTTCCTATTGTTGAATCATGAGGTCTGACCTTAACTTACTTGTTGTTCTGGGTTCCTTTGTGACCTCCTGGATGAGTTGTCGATGCACACTTGGAACAATTTTGGCAGGGCAGCCACTTCTGGGAAGGTTCAACAGTGTTCCAGGATTTCGTCTTTGTGGACAATATTATGATCTTTGGGTGTTAGGTTTTGGTTTTCATTTGTGTCTCTGTTTTTACTATTTCCCTGTTGCTTAAGTTATCTAAGGTTTTGCCATTTTAGTTAATTTTCACTGTTCACTCTTCAGTTCAACTGCCATATCCTCTGGCTCTCCATCGAGTCTGTTTGCTTCTCCACGTGCTTTTTGTCCTGTTCTCCTTGTGCCATACATTTTCTGAGTTTTAATGTTGTTGTTAAAGAACTCTTTATCAGTTTATGTCCGCGCTTGGGTCCTTCTCAAACCAAACAAACATTACAGGTAATGTCTCTCACGGTGGTTTACTGGAGTCCCAAAGCCTTAAAAATTGCTTTAAAACTCTTTCCAGGCTGATGGATGTCAGTGACATGTTCTAAGATGGGTTCTTCTTAAGTAATTTCTCAAATCTACAATTCTGACAGTATTTATGCCTGGCTTAAAAAAATGTGGTTAAAAGCAGCAACATTGAGATTTAATAAGGGGGTAATTACTTTTCCAGGCCTAGGTAAGTTTGGATCTCTTATTTAAAATAATACATAGTTAGTTATTATTATTAACTGCATTTTCTGCAAAAACAGAAGAAAGCTGTAAGTGGGGTAAATACAACAAAGCTACTTTATCTTGTTTAGGTTGGCAGAAGTTTGGCCCTTATCCTACACACCCTCAATCAAAAGGAAGTGGAAATAGTATAAGATTTGTTTTCGTATCACAGGACACCATGCATCTGCCTAAAACACTTAGTTTCATCCTGAACTGACATTTCTCTCATTGGTTGACGCTGAATTATTAGTGGTGAAAAATGCTTTGTTTGTCTTTTCAAAGTGGACAAGGTATGCACAGACTAAAACACTAGAATGCTGCCTTACTGAATAAATATCTGATCTTCGGTTTGCGACTTCAAACTTTTGTCTCACATTGTACCCAGGACATTTTGTAGGAGTAGTAGCAAAAACATTAAACACAAACAGATTTAGGAAAAACTTCCAATGACAAAAACAAGCACAAATTTTATCCAAATCATATTTTGTGCCTTGAAACAAACTAAAGTTTTACTTTTTAAGGGTGTAAAACAGCTAAAGCGTTATTTTTCAATTATTTAGGGTTGTCCTGAAGAACCTGAGCAAGATTCAATCGTAACTTTGCTCATGGCCAAACCATGACTGAATGAGCGCAGCAGTGATAAAATATGAATACGCGAGGAGAGGAGCAGCCATCTCCTCCGGCTCTATTGAAGGAAACTATGAGCAAGTGCTGCAGGGCCTTCATTTCAATGCCTGGCACCTCCATTGATTTAAGGCCCAGCGTCAGCAGAAGACTCATTTAGGCGAGTCATCTGTCTCGCCTGGCTAGGCCTGCTAAAAGGTTATTTAGCCGCCCAGTGCTTTGGAGCAATGGATAAAGGCCACAGAAGAACACAGCCACTGTGTGTTTATGTTGCCCATTGATTGCCATTGCCTGTTTGTGCAGAGCTGTTTTAGACCTGTGTCTTCCTCTGGTGTCAGGGGAGGATAACACACAGACTGTGAAGTTTTGCAGGGCCTTACTGGACAGTTAGTGTTAAATGATGAAGATGGCATGGTTTGTATATTTCTGATGCAAACGAGAGATAAGTTTTCCAGTTGCAGAAAATTAAAAACATGAATTAAAAAAGACAGATAAGCCATCATCATCTGCAGAAGGAAACAGGTCCTGAGTTTCAAATATTTACTATTGTTTGCATGATCAAAAATAGGATTTACACTAAAAATGGTGCTTCTAAATGAGTATTTATTTTACGTCTAAATAACAACTAATTTCTAAGGCCTCATTTGACATGAAGACAAGAAAGATAACAGATGGCTAAATTGATATTATTGTTTTTAGTTGTTACCTTTTAGAGTTTCTAAAATAATCAGCAACCTGATTTCCTTTACTTCTCTGTTATGTAAATCAACAAGAAATACGAAAGACTCATAAACTACAAACTACAAGTAAATTGAACTTGGGACAGTTTCAAATCAGGTTATGGGGTAAGGAGTGAATCAGTATGTGTACAGGTGCCTGTACATTTCTTCTAGTTATAATACCAATGCAGCTGCATGAAGTGTTTCTGCGTTTTGACATAACTGTTTCATGCTCATAAATAAAATTTTTGTTTATTTATTGATTCATTTATGAACCAAAACATATCGGAGTTGAAAAACTTTGCTCATTGTGTCAATTATTAGTGTATAATGAAAATGTGATGAATCGCAGTAATTTAATGACAAAGCCTCTAATTAAATTGATTGATTTTTCTTTTAATTGCATCCCAAAATAGAAATGGTTTTGGAAAAGCTTCCTGTAGTGGAAACAAGCCTGAACGAGTGGGTGTACATTTGTTTGTTTGTTAAATTAAACCTGTTGTTAAAGTACAGCTGTGTTTATAGTGCTATGCAAAAAGCACACAGTAACTTATTCCCAATAGGTCCTCTTTCCTGGTGCCATTTCTGTCAAGTATTGATTAAACTGAACTGGCTTTACTGATTTCAGAGGCTCTTTGCTAACAAGATAAATAAATGTCTTACATGTGCTCATTTTTTCCCCAAAGACTTTTTAAAAATTCCTTTCAGATAACAAAAGCTACAAAATCTTTGCTGCCACAAAGTACAGCTGATTTACCATATGTTTATTCTGATTTCAGCAGGGGTTTCAAAAACCAGAAGTTGTAAAATGAGGGAGGGACTTCACCATTAAATGAATGTGGTTGTTTAGTTTTACCCACAGAAAACTAAACGACTAAAGAAAATCTTAATCTTTTAGTTAAGTTAAACTCCTGCGTGATAAGGCGTATCCGTCACTTCCTGTTTTCGCTGTTGCACTCACTGGATTGTTTGGTGTGTGAAGGCTCTCTCGTTTGATCTGATTTCTCTCTACTGTGATACCTCTTACTTGTTCTAATACATAAGCACGTTAAAACACATACTTTCTGTTGCTGCTTT